GTGTTTGGGAATACAGGTTTTTCTTTGTAAAGGTGCCAACAGTGAGGGAAAAGGGCTATTTTCTCTTACATTTACAATGTAAATCATCATACTAAAAATACCAATATGCACTCACTGTATCTGTTTTGCGTCTGAGGGCGGATCAGTTTTTGTTGGTCAGAACCAGGACCTTTCAGCCAGAGGGTTCTGGGTTGGAGTCCCCGGGGAACCAGGACCAGAGGGTTCTGGGTTGGAGTCCCGGGGGAACCAGGACCAGAGGGTTCTGGGTTGGAGTCCCGGGGGAACCAGGACATTTCTGGGTTGAGTCTGCATGTTCTCCTGTGTCTATGGGTTCTCTCCGGGTTCTCCGGCTTCCTCCCACCGTCCAACGACCTGCATGTTAAGTGTGCGTGGTTGTTGGTCCTTGTGTGTCTCTGTGTAAAAAAAACAAACAACGCTACAGCTTCAAGCCATACATGTCCACACATGACAATCAAATCAGCCACAGTATCTTCATTTTCCAGAAATCCACAGAAAATTGTCCAGGTTCTTCATTTCTTCAGTGAGGTGGAATCTGACACATTGCTTCCTTTTTCCGTGCACATTATACATCATTTTAACTCCTAAACAACAAATGTTATGAGCCATGATTCTGGGTTGATGTGTGATGATCAGGATTCAGGTAACGCGTTTCCCTCTTCACCAGTGAAATGGCTGATTAAATCCAACACTGTTGGAAAACTGCTGGCAATGCAAAAAAACGTCCTTTTTTGGTCAACTGGTGTGGTTTTGGGGTTGGAAAAGCATCCTGGTTAGACTTTACACACACATTTATTTTATTCCACATATAACAAACAAAATGAGTTCTTGATCCCAATGATCCTAAAAACCGAGGTAAAGGCAGCTGGGCTCCTCCACTTCCTTCCTTCTGGATTTTGAAGACATTCCTCTCTTCCTATAGGCTTCTTCAGCTCTAAACAACATCAGATTTGGGGGACAATGCTGCTTTGTAAGAGACCTCCTCTGTTCACTATGAAAAACCTATGAAAATAGACGTACAGTCGGAAAACTTCCCTAAAACTTCCCTCTCTAGCTTCCTCCCAAGGTCCAAAAACATGCATCCATCCATCAATCCATCCATCAATTTTCCGTCGCTTGTCGGGGGTCGGGTCGCGGGGGCAGCAGCCGAAGCAGGGAAACCCAGACCTCCCTCTCCCCGGCCACTTCCGCCAGCTCCTCCGGGGGGATCCTGAAGCGTTCCCAGGCCAGCCGGGACACATAGTCCCTCCAGCATGTCCTGGGTCTTCCTCTGGGCCTTCATCCTGATCAGATGCCCGAGCCACCTCAACTGGCTCCTCTCCACGTGGAGGAGCAGCGGCTCTACTCTGAGCCCCTCCCGGATGGCCGAGCTTCTCACCCTATCTCTAAGGGAGAGCCCAGCCACCCTGCGGAGGAAACTCATTTCGGCCGCTTGTATCCAGGATCTCATTCTTTCGGTCACTACCCAAAGTTTGAGACTATAGATGTGGGTTGGAACGTAGATCGACCGATAAATTGAGAGCTTCGCCTTTAGGCTCAGCTCTCTCTTCATCACGGCAGACCGGTACAGCGCCCGCATTACTGCAGACGCCGCACCGATCCCCCTATTGATCTCACGCTCCCTACCCCCATTCGCGAACAAGACCCTAAGATACTTGAACTCTTCCACTTGGGGAAGGACGTCCGCACCGACCCGGAGAAGGCACTCTCCCCTTTTCCGGTGAGAGACCTTGGTCTCGGACTTGGAGGCACTGATCCTCATCCCAGCCGCTCCAGCGAGAGCTGTAGGTCCCGACTTGATGAAGCCAACAGGACCACATCATCTGCAAAAAGCAGAGACGCAATCCTAAGGCCACCAAGACTGACACCCTCAACACCTCGGCTGCGCCTAGAAATCCTGTCCATAAAAGTAATGAACAGGACCGGAGACATAGGGCAACCTTTGCGGGGTCCAACTCTAACCGGAAACGGATCCGACTTACTACCGGCAAGGCAAACAAAGCTTAGACTCCAGTCGCACAGGGACCGAACAGCCCATAACATTAGCAGCCCAGTACCCCATACTCCCGGAGCACCCCCCACAGGATACCCCGAGGGACACGGTCGAACGCCTTCTCCCAGTCCACAAAACACATGTGGACTGGTTGAGCCAACTCCCATGCACCCTCCAGGATCCCACTGAGGTTATAGAGTTGGTCCAGCGTTCCACGGCCAGGATGAAAACCACACCGTTCTTCCTGAATCTGAGATTCGACTATAAAAAGGACCCTCCTCTCCAGAACCGCTGAATAGACCTTCCCAGGGAGGCTTTAGAGCGTGATCCCCCTGTAGTTGGAACACACCCTTCGGTCCCCCTTTTTAAATAGGGGGACCACCACCCCAGTCTGCCAATCCAGCGGAACTGCCCCTGATGTCCACGCAATGTTGCAGAATTGCGTTAACCAACGCATCCCAAAACATCCAAAGCCTTGAGGAACTCCGGCCGAATCTCTTCCACCCCCGGAGCCTTGCCACCGCGGAGCTTTGTGACTACCTCGGTGACTTCAGCCCCAGAGATTGTAGAGCCCAACTCCAGATCCTCAGGCTCTGCCCCTCCAATGGAGGATGCGCCAGAGGGATTGAGGAGGTCTCCGAAGTACTCCGCCCACCGACCCACACTGTCACGAGTTGACGTCAACAGCACACCACCCCGACTGTAAAAAGTGTTGGTGGAGCTCCGCCTAACAGGGGACTCCGCCAGGCACTCCCAGCAGATCCTCACATCCCTGGTCTCACCGGCATCCTCTTCCACCATCAGAGCCAACTCACCACCAGGTAGTGGTCAGTGGAAAGCTCCGCCCCCCTTTTCACCCGAGTGTCCAAAACATGTGGCCGCAGGTCAGCCGAAAGGACAACAAAGTCGATCATTGAGCTGCGGCCTAGAGTGTCCTGGTGCCAGGACACTCTTATGCCTGAACATGGTGGTCGTTATGGACAATCCGTGCCGAGCACAGAAGTCCAACAACAAAACACCACTCAGGCTCAAGCTGTGGGGGCCATTCCTCCCAAAACACGCCCCTCCAGGTCTCACTGTCATTGCCCACGTGAGCGTTGAAGTCCCCCAGGAGAACAATGGAGTCCCCGGGGGGGCACCCTCCAGCACCCCCTCCAAGGACTCCAAAAAGGGTGGGTACTCTGAACTGCTGTTAGGCGCATAAGCACCAACAACAGTCAGGACCCGTCCCCCCACCCGAAGGCGAAGGGAGGCTACCCTCTCGTTCACCGGGGTAAACCCCAACGTACAGGCACCGAGATGGGGGGCAACAAGTATGCCCACTCCTGCTCGGCGCCTCTCACTAGGGGCAACTCCAGAGCAGAAGAGCGTCCAACCCCTCTCAAGAAGGCCGGTTTCAGAGCCATAGCTGTGGGTCGACGTGAGACCGACTGTGTCCAGCTGAAAATCTCTCCGCCTCACACACCAACTCAGGCTCCTTCCCCACCAAAGA